CCCCCAAAACCCCAAAACCCCAAAACCCCTTTGGGCAAGAAGAAAATTGATTTATAAATATTCTATTTGTATTTAGAAGAACCCCGCATTTTCTTTGCTGTTAGGAGATACTTCCCTTGGTTCTCTTCTCCGTAGAGACTTGTAACTCTTTCAGAAGGAGACATTCCAATTTCTTTACGATAAGGAGAGTCACCTGATCTTCCATAATCTTCAAATCTTCTGTATCTAGTTACAACTTTATTTCCATATTTCATTTCGTCTTCGATCGAAATAAGAAAATGTTGTTGTGGGCCTAGAACACAACCTGGTCTTGCAATCCTGATCCAACCGATAAAGGCAGCTGCAGAGATTTCATATCTCTTCATTGCATAGCATCCAATTAGGGTACCTGTTCTGCCAAGCCCAGCTTTACAGTGTACTGCAACTGCTCCTTTTGTGTTATCTACAAGTTCGATAAAGGCATCAACTATTTCGATAGATGGAGTGGATCCATCAACAAAGAATAAGTCATTATGCTTGAATCCAAATTGCTCAAATCTGCTTTTATCATAACACTTTTCGTTAAGCCTGATGATTCTTTCAACTCCAAGACTTTCAAATACCTTGCTGTAGTCTTCTGGTGTATGACATTTGAGCCCATCTGAGTCATAATTTGTTTCATAAGGGCCCATTAAGGCACAAATTTTGCCTGGAATTATCCAATTAAGGTCGCCATTATCCAATTTGGAGTAGTATTCATATTCTTGTACATCAAAGTTTTTGAAATCGTACCAACCGAGTTCAATTGCCTTTTCAACACCTCTCAAACAATCTAGAATAGTCATCTTGTAGCTTCAATCTCCAGAACTGGCATCTCTAAAGGGAGTAAACTGAGAATGATATTCCGAGAAAGTATTCCAAGCTTCTTCAGGAGTTCTTTGAAGAATAATAACCATAAAGAGGCTCATTAGTCAAGCTGAATTAGCCATCTTCTGCCCTTGAAGACTTGTGAGATGATATATTTTTCCATCCCTATCTCTTCTTTCATGAAGCATCTTGGTAAGTTCGCAACAGAAGCGGTGAGTCATAGAAAGACTAAGAGGCCCAAAATCTTTATTAAATGGGTCATACTGTAATTCATTACAATCATCAGTACTAAAATAATAATCATCCCCTTCTCCTTTAGGAGGAGTGCTTGAAGGCAACCAGTAGAGAGTATCCTGTATGATCTCCACTGGCTTTGACAAAGGAGACACATCCTGGTTATAATACTTCTGTGTTATATTTACAGCAGACTGAGTGGAAGGATAGAAGTTGTACCCAGTTTTACTAGCTCCACTTTCTTTGTAATAATTCCTCTCCATTCGAATAATTTAACTGCTCAATTTTTTTAAAAATTAAGGGGTTTTGGGGTTTTGGGGTTTTGGGGTTTTGGGG